GGGAGGGGGTTGAGGGGAGTGGGGGGGTGAAGGGGGGTGGGGGATTGGGAGGGGGGTGAGTGGAGTGGGCGAGTGGACGGGGCGAGAAGTGGGTGGGGATGGAGATGGGGGTTTTGGGAGAGTGGGGTTGAGGGGGGAGGGTGTGTGTGAGGAGGAGTGTCTGAGGGAGTGGGTATGAGGGTAGAGTAAGGAGGGCTGGTGCTGTGTGTGTGGGTGTTGGGGGGGTCTTTAGCTATCCTTGGGTCTGCAGCCATGTTTTCATGAAAGAGTCAAACAGCACAATCCGTACAGTTTTCCACAAACTAAACTAATCCCATTTGCCTGCATTTGGCCCATATCCCTCTAAACCTTTCCTATTCATGTACCTGTCCAAGTGTATTTTAAATGTTGCAAGTGTGCCTACATTTATCACTTCCTCTGGCAGTTCATTCCACATTCGAACCACCATCCATGTCCCTCAGGTCCCTTTTAAATCTTTCTCCTCTCACCTTAAACCTATGCCCTCTAGTTTTGGACTCCCCCACCCTAGGGAAAAGACCTTTGCTATTCACTTTATCTATACCCCTCATGATTTTATAAACCTTTACAAGGTCACCCCTCAACCTCCCACGCTCTGGTGGAAAAATGTCCCAGCCTGTCCAGCCTCAAACCCTTCAGTCCTGGTAATATCCTTGTAAATCTTTTATCACTCTTTCCAATTTAGTAATATCCCTCCTACCGAAGGGAGACCAGAGCGGTACACAGTACTCCAAAAGATGCCTCACCAATGTACAATGTACAGCAACATGACCTTCCAACTCTTGTACTGAGTGCCATGGGCAATGAAGTCAAGCATATCAAACACCTTCTTCACCAATCTGTCTATCTGTGATGCCACTTTCAAGCAATTATGAACCTGCACCCCTAGGTCTCTTTGTTCAACAACACTCCCCAGGGCCCTGTTGTTAACTGTGTAAGTCCTGCCCTGTTTTGTCTTACCAAAATGCAACACCTCAGTGGCCCAGCTGATCAAGATTCCATTGTGCTCTTAGATAACCTTCTTCAGTGTCCACTATACCTCCAATTTTGGTGTCATTCGCAAAATTACTAACCATGCTTCCTATATTCTTATCAAAATCATTCATATACATGACAAATAACAGTGGACCTAGCACTGATCACTGCAGAACACCACTGGTCACAGGCCTCCAGTCCAAAAAACAACTGTCTACCACTAGCCTCTGTCTTTTAACATCAAGCCAATTTTGTATCCAATTGGCTAACTCTTCCCGGATCCCACATGATCTAACTTTACGAACCAGTCGACCATATTGAACCTTGTCGAAGGCTTTGTCTTTGTGGACTCTACCCTCATCTATCTTCTTGGCCACATCCTCAGAAAAACTCAAATCAAGTTTGTGAGACATGGTTTCCTTCGAACAAAGCCGGAGGAGCTGCTAATTGCCCAGTGCTAAAGGGGTAAGGACCAGGTTTGTGTTGGTGCTAATCCACCTAACCTATACGTCCCTGGACACAGCAGGGCAATTTAGGATGGCCAGTCCACTAACCTGAACATCTTTGGACTCTACACATTGCAGTCACCAAGGCTACAATCAAACCCAGGTCCCTTGTGCTGTGAGGAGCCAATGCTAACCACTGTACGGTCGATGTGTTTTAATTCTTGGCTGACTTTTATATTTGTTAACCCTCAGGCCACCCGTGGATGTTCCGTGATGCTGTTTCTGATGACCGGCTCCTTGTCAACGGGCATGAGGTCTTTGTACCACCCCCTGGACAGGTTAATGAAATTGGACAACCGTGCTATATCATGGTTAACATCACTATACCAGGTAACTGACTGCCAATAAAGTCCTCATGGCCACGAAAGCTCATTACAGCCTGTTCCAGTCATAAAGATTACTTCCTATACCTGGTTTGCACTGACTTTGCCGATCTCATTTTGGATGCTGTGTTAGTATTCAATGCAGGAAGGCATATGGAAATGATGAGGTGAGAGCAGCGTTACTAATGCACCTCGCAGTGAGATAGCTGCTCCCTTCTCTTTTGCACGACTCCCTCTTATAGGCTTGTGTGATGAAAATTATTCATTTTGGTAGCAGAAAAAGCAGCACGGTGGCTCAGCAGTTAGCACTGCAGCTTCAGTGCCAAGGATCAAGGTTCAATTCCACCCTTGGGTGACTGTGTGGAGTTTGCACATTCTGCCCGTGTCTGAGGGTTTCCTCTGGGTGCTCCGGTTTCTTCCCACAGGCCAAAGATGTGCAGGTTTGGTGGATTGGCCATGCTAACTGCAGGGTTATGGGGATATGGAAGGAGGCTGGGTTTGGTTGGGATGCTCTTCGGAGGGCTGATGCAGACTTGATGGGTCAAACAGCCTCTTTCCAAACTTTAGAGATTCTGAAAGGATTTTGATTCAATAGTGCACTGCCTGGTTGATAAGAATTGAAACTGTACAAAGTTTTCTCTTGAACATTTTGCCAATGGGCAAATTAGGTTGTTGTTTTACATCACAGTTCAGCTGTTTTTTTTTCTTTGTCCAGTTTATACACTAAAAGAGAGGTGTCTGCAAGTGGTGCGGAGCCTGGTGAAGCGAGAGGATTACAGAAACCTGGAGATTGTTGGATCACTTTATGATGAACTGGAGGATCAGCCACAGATCCTGAAAGATCTTAAGCGAATTCAAAGGCAACTTGCTGAAACAGAGGAGACCTTAGCTGACAGGGAGTCTTGAGCTTCTTCCACCTTTTCTTTCATCTATCCTCCCCTCCCCTAACTAATCCCCCCACCCCAAATTAAGACTTGTATATTGTGTATAGTCAAACTGCAAACATCCCAGTCTATATACAGAGTAGAATGGACCACATCAGTTATTTAAAATGTGGTGTATGCCTAGTGGGTTTGTGATGTAAAGTGTAAACAAGACTTTCTTCTGATCATCTAAATGCTTAGACCTTTACTGTACAATAAATTTTCAACTTTTGATCTTCCTCTTATATTTTCAAACAAACACAGAGAATGTGGAGAAACTCAGCAGGTCTGGCAACATCTGTGGAAAGAGAAACAAATTAACACTTAGAGACCAGTATGACTCTTCTTCAGAAGAGTCGTACCAGACTCAATGTTAACTCTGTTTCTCTCTCCACAGAAACTGCCAAACCTGATGAATTTCTCCAGCATTTTTGTTTTTATTTCCGATTTCACCAAATCATGCAAGCAATGATTACCTTGCACAGTACCCTTATCTCCATGATAGTTCTGTAAGGGAATACAGCACATGTGTTAGTACAAAGCTGGAGTATTGCTGACAAAAGTGGCATGCGTCAAGATTCGTTGTCTTGTACTCATCAGGGCAGATGCAAAATCTTAAATTTCACAGGGAACATCAATGTATACCTGCACTAGAAACAGGGTCCTGATTGGTGTTACCTTGACCAATCAGTTCCCTAGCTAAGCACTCAGCAGCCTATTCCTTATGCAGTACAAATTGTTCCCTTTGGGGTTTGGTGTTCTTGTGATTTTGACCTATTGAGTACAGAACAAAAGCTTTGGCATTGTGTCGGTCTTTTCAGCAATACCTGATGTATTATTGATCTGTATGGACAGTGTGGTCTCAGATTTGGTCTTCCATTCGTGTGGCTTTTTAGCCACGCTCAATAAATTTCTCAAGAAATTGCGGGGACACTAGATAACTATATGCTGGATGTGCAGATGGAATGAGGTACATCAGCTGGAAAATGAGGTAATTGGTGGCCAGCACTTACTATAGCTGCATGGGACTATTTAGGCTTGCAGTTATATGGGCCTTGCTACTATTCTATACTGAAAACATGAATGGTCTAACAAATTTCTGTGGATTTATTGATGACTGTCTGCTATTTGTGGCTCTAGTTCTGGTTTCCCTTGGGATCAGCAATACAGGTCAGGTCCAACAAACCAGTCCTGAAGAAGGGTTCTGACCCGAAATGTTGACTTTCCTGCTCCTCGGATGCTGTCTGACCTGCTGTGCTTTTCCAGCTCCATGTTTTTTGACTCTAGCTTTCAGCATCTGCAGTCTTTTCTGTCTCCAGGTTCAACAAATGCTCAGCACAGCCTTAATACAGCATCTTTTCAGTAGTATCTCTCTAGAAATGAATATCAGTGCCTTATTTTCTTTTAATGGTTATTGATCTGTTCTACATTACTACATGTGATTTGTGAACAGTATTTGTAACCTAGATCCCTTTGTTCACCTCTCCCATTTTCCAATGAGTATGTTTCTAACTAGAATGTACCACGTCATATTAAAGTTCATTCTGCATACCTCTGGTTATCTCCTTATATGTTGTTGCAGTCTTTTTCTGTTTAGCTCCACTCACTTGCTTATCAATTTAGAAATGTAATTCCAGATTCAGGTCCCAAGACCAAATGTGGACCCATCATTGATTCTGATACAGCATTTCCGTTTTTTTTTCTCGTGGCTCCATAAGGTTTCTTTTCCATCCGCTACAACAGCTACAGGTATCCCTTGCCCACCCAAAATCTTTTGCCATAAGTAACTGTTGTTCATATGGGAGCCCAGACAGTACAGGTGAGATATTCAGCTGAAAATGCCATCACTGATCTGTGGTACTGAAGTCAGCAGAAACATTTTGACTGACACCACCCCTGAGCTTATCTCTTGCTGAACTAAACTGACAAGGAAACACAGTCTTCAGAACATGAAGCCAGTGACACCCACGTCTCACAAGTGAATTTAAAGAAAAACCTGCCATGAATTTCTGGCTGAACATTTTGTGTCATTTATTATCTTTTCTTTAGATAACTGATTTCTGTACAGCGAATCCATGTGTATATTTTGTATGTAATATCTGAAGATAGTTATTAAATGTTTGTTCTACACTCAGTATTGTGTGATTTTTCTGTCTAACTCTGAGCACTGCAATGCAGTGATAGAGATAGTAGGAACTGCAGATGCTAGAGAATCTGAGATAACAAGGTTTTATAGCTGGATGAACACAGCAGGCCGAGCAGGAAAGCTGACATTTCGGGCCTAGAGGGTCTAGGCCTGAAACGTCAGCTTTCCTGCTCCTCTGATGCTGCTTGGCCTGCTGTGTTCATCCAGCTCTACACCTTGTTACCTCTTAATGCAGTGATAGGACTGGATTGTGGATGGTGTTAGAGTTTTGTGATAGTTAGAACAAGTGAAAACTAATGCAGATACTGCAGTAATTCGTCCATGGGCAAGTCTCTGGTTTCAGGATGGTGCTGTACTGTCCACTCTTTGTAATAACAGTGTGGAGCTGGTGGAACACAACAGGCCAGGCAGCATCAGAGGAGCAAAAAAGTTGACATTTCAGGTTGGGACCCCTCTCCACGAAGGTGGCTCTGAAATAAATAGAGGGGTGGGGCTGGGGAAAGTAGGGAGTGGTGGGGATTGGTCAGTGAGGTGGGAGGGGTGGATAGGTGGGAAAGTGAATTAAAAAAAACCTGCCATGAATTTCTGGCAGAACATTTCACATCATTTATTATCTTTTCTTTAGATAACTGATTTCTGTACAGCAAATCAGTGTGTATATTTTGTATGTAATATCTCAAGATAGTTATTAAATGTTTGTTCTACACTCTCAATATTGTGTGATTCTTGCAGTTGTGTCAGGTCAGGGAGGCGACGATGAGGATGAGGGTTGGTCATGGGATGAGGCTGCGGGAGGGGAGATTTTGAAACTGGTAAAATCCATGTTTAGGCCATTGGGCTGTAGGCTCCCAAGGCAGAATGTGAGGTGCTGCTCCTCCAGTTTGCAGGTGGCATCACCTTCTTTCACCCACCTTCCTGCAAGAATGCAATCCCCTACTCCCAATTCCTCTGCCATGTCTGCTCCCAAGATGGGGCGTTCCACTCCTACACATCCCAGATGTCCTCCTATTTCAAGGACCGCAACTTCCCCCTCCGGTGATGGAAAATGTCCTCAACCACGTCTCTTCCGTTTCCTGCACCTCTGCCCTCACATCCCCTTCCCCACCAACAAAAATAAAGACAGAATGCCCCTTGTCCTCATATATCACCCCACCAACCTCCGCATCCAACGTATCATTCTCCGCTACTTCCGCTACCTGCAATCTGACCCCACAACCAAATGTATATTGCCCTCCTCACTCCTATCTGCCTTTCGTAAGGCCCGCTCTCTCCGCGACTCCCTCGTCCGCTCCACACTCCCTACTAGCCCCACCACCTCCTGGCACCTTTCCCTGCAACTGCAGGAAGTGCTACACCTGCCCCTCACCTCCATTCAAGGCACAAAACAAACCTTCCACATCAGACAGATGTTCACCTGCAGATCCATCAATGTGGTCTACTGCATCCACTGCTCCTGATGTGACCACCTCTACATCGGTGAGACCAAGCCAAGGCTCGGAGACAGGTTTGTAGAGCACCTGTGCTCTGGCTCTGTTCTGCGACAAATGAGAACACCTTCCAGTCGCGAACCATTTTAACTCCCCCTCCCACTCCCTGAGTGACGTGTCCATCCTGGGCCTCCTCCAGTGTCACAATGATGCCACCCACAAACTGGAGGAGCAGCACCTCATATTCCGCCTTGGGACCCTACAGCCCAATAGCCTAAATGTGGATTTCACCAATTTCAAAATCTCCTCACCCCAGGCCTCATCCCATAACCAACCTTCCTTCTCATCCCAACCTTCCTTCTCATCCCAGCCTCCTTGACCTGCCACAACCCGTCCATCTTCTCTCCTCCCTATTCGCTCCTCCCACCTCACTGACCAATCCCCAGCACTCCCTACCTGCAATCACCTATCACCAACCCACCTACCTTCCCCAGCCCCCCCCCTCCCCTATTTATTTCCGACCTCCCTTCCCCCCACCACCCCATTTCTGAAGAAGGGACCTGACCTGAACTGAAACGTCAGCTTTCCTGCTCCTCTGATGCTGCCTGGCCCGCTGTGTTCATCCAGCTCCACACTGTCTTATCTCTGACTCCAGCATCAGCAGTTCTTACTATCTCTGACTGCTCTCTGTGTTTTGGGAGGGTACCGTACTGGTTCAAGAGGGTCCCACATTGACCCAGTTGCTGGGTTATGGAGGATGAGATTTCTGATGGTCTTGATATGAGGTAGAGTTTGGCACTGACCAGTCTCTGTGTTAGGGACTTACAACGACTGGATTATGGGCTAAAGTGGGTCTCACATGGGGGGAGTGTGTCATACTCACAGGGCTTTGGACTAGGGAGAGTCTCACACAGACCCGTTTCTGGATTAAGGAGTACCTCTCTGTCTCTCTCTCTCTCTCTCTCTCACCATTGTCTGGATTAGGAAGGGTCTCACGCTGATGATTTTCAGGATTAGCAAGTTTCTGTCACTGACCAATTTCTGAGTTAGGCATGATTTCACATTGACCCCCACCTTCTGGATACAGGGAGACGGTCACACTGAGCCTAGTTCCTGCATTTAGGGAGGGTCTGACTGGCCACTTTCTGGCACTGAACCGGATACTTTAGTGACAACGTTGTCCATTGTCACTCCCGCGTCACTATGGTTACCGTCCCTTAAACACACCCGCGCGCACCCGCTCCTGAGGGAGACACCCGCGCGCACCCGCTCCCGAGGGAGACTCACCCGCGCGCACCCGCTCCCGAGGGAGACTCACTCGCGCGCACCCGCTCCTGAGGGAGACTCACTCGCGCGCACCC